ACTTTTAGTTATACCAGCTGCTTCTTTAGTGGGATATGGTTGAAATCAAATATCTCCTTTTGAGACCGAAAATAAGTTTCTCTGCATCTTGATCTCCATCTGATGATGATTCTTCCACCATATAAGCAACAGCATCATCCCTAATATTGTCCTTGAACTCTATATGCTCTCCATCACTAAAAACAGCTTCTCCTCCTTCCTCTGAACCACCTGAGCTTGACGATGAACTCAGAATGGACTCATAGGACGTTGTATCTAAAAAAGAACAAATAAAAAGTTTTGTGTCTGCTAAATTCAATGTCATACAACAGTTTCAAAAAGCAAATTGGTGGCAGAAGTATGTGTGCTTGGTAACAAGATGCAGCTCAACAACAAACATGACCAAAATTGACTTGCATTTTCCTGCATGACGTAAAGCATAAGCTTTAAGGAGAATGATAGAGAGCACTTACCTTGTGAATTCAATGCTCTTGAAGTTTTGTCATGTCAGGAAGTTTGCATGTTAAGAATGGCACATCTAGGGTAAGCATCTAAACATTCACCAACAAAGAAAGCACACAAAGACTGTACTTACTATAGCTACCATCTCGTTTCTTTGTTTTCTTCTGGAAAGTTTACTGAGGTCAGATGGTATCTGGTAGCTGGTTTGATCAGCACTCTCAAGCTGGAAGCATTAGAAACCAGCTCCAGGGACTTGTTCCAGACTCAAGTCTAGATATTGAGAGATGAGAGTGTGTAAACATCTTCTGGGATGCAGCCTGTGAGCTGGTTCCAGCGTGTCTGAGTTTCAAGAGCCCGGGCGCTGCCTAAGTCACTGCCGAGAAATGTAAACGAACGCATTAAAGTGAAATAGATTTAGTAAGGGTTAGGGCATTAAAGGCATTTTGCAAAGGGCAAGCTATGGCGCGAACAGAGCAGGAGCGCAGTGGATGCGTCACAGGTTTGTGGTCTCTCTTTCGACCAAAAAAGGCGCACAAGGGCGACAACAAGGTCCACCCGGAAGCCATGGACGCGGCGGCCTCGAAGCTGAAGGTCCAAGATCGTGTCTGTGAGGCCGTCTCGGGAGAAGCCATGGACGCCGCCGCCTTGAAGTTGAAGGAACTCAGGCACGAGGTGAAAATCGTCTTAGAAGCGATACGACAGGAGCGAGGGCACAAGGAGCCGATCAAGCCGATCAAGCCGGAACAAGAGAAGGAGGACGAAGAGGAGAATCAAGAGAAGAAAGCGGAGCAGCTGAAGGAAGAGAAGAAAGCCCAGCAGGTGAACGAGGAGGAGAAAGAAGCCGATCAGATGAAGCCGATGAAGCTGAAGAAGAGGAGGAAAAGGAAGCCGAGAAGCAGCTGAAGGAGGAGGAGCAAGAGAAGAAAGCTGAGCAGCTGAGCGAGGAGGAGCAGGAGAAAGAAGCCCATGAGACGAAGGAACTCAGGCGCGAGGTGAAACAGGAGCAAGGTCACAAGGAGCAGCCGCAGCTGGAACGAGAGGAGAAGAATCAGCCGAATCAGCCGATCAAGCCGATCAAGCCGATGAAGCAAGAGCAGGAACAGGAGGAGGAGCAGCGGATGAAGCCGATGAAGCAGCAGCTGGAACAAGAGGAGGAGCAGATGATCAAGCCGATGAAGCAGCAGCTGGAACAAGAGGAGGAGCAGATGATCAAGCCGATGAAGCAGCAGCTGGAACGGGAAGACGATCAAGAGAAGATGAAGCAGCAGGAGAATGACAAGCCCAAGCAGGAGGAGCAGCGACCCAAGCCAATTCTATTGCCAGCCGGGGGTCGTCGTCCAGGTATGGTTCCTTTTGCTTCTTGCATTCTTCTTCTACTGTGACTCACGATGGCCTTCTGGACTTGCAGGTTCCAGGCCGAAGATGGTTCGCTTCTCTTCCTCAGCGGAGGACATTCTTCCCGACGGCACCCGACGGCGGAGTGAAACCCATCTTAGCGATGGCCGAGGGGGCTATGTTGAGTTCGCGTATCTCGAAGCTTTCCACAAGGCAAACCGGTGGCTAAACCAGAGGGGAAAAACCGAGAAGAAGATCCGCAGCTTGGAAGAGGAAAAGCGCGAGGAAACAGAAGAGGAGAAGCACGAGGAAAAGTCTTGGAGTGTTAGCGCGCTCCGGATTCTGATCAGACTCACCGAGCAGCTTTACGAGGAGCTCAACAGCAAATCCAGCGACCGAGAGAGGATCAAGCGAGCGCGGAAGATGATGAGGCTCCGGAAAATGCTGGATAGGATCCCGAGTGAGAGGAAACCGTGGAAGAAGCTTCAGTCCGGCGAGGTGGTCTTCGTGAAGGAGGCAAAAGAACTATATGATCGTGCGGGGAGAGATTTTGTTGCCGAATTCAAGAGGAGACAGGTAAGTTTGATATACCTTCCAGATTCCAGATGGCCGTTTGCTAATAACTTCCGTGTTTGTTGTAGAGAGCTGAAGTGAACGATGAGTGTTTGTTTTGTCGGAACCATGATGGCGAGAAGATGATCGGCCGGGCTGGAGCGAACTCTAAGACGACTAGACCCTGGGTTTACCTGAGAAGAGAACACGAGCAAACTGTTCTAAGCACGTCGAAGAAACGAGAAATGAAGTTGGCTCCGAGCTCGAGAAGTTGGCTGCAAGGATTGGTCAACTGGAGGCCAGTGCTCGGACTCTAGCATCGGAGAAGCCAACTCTCAAGAGTCAAATCCAGAAGTTGGATCTCCAAGCAAGTTGAGCAGCACAGGAGGAGGCCACTAAAGCTATAGACCAGTTAAGTCGAGAGAAGATCGACCTTCTCAAGGACTCGACTCCAAAGATTTGCAGCTGTCCACACTCTTCTAAGTCAAGAGAAGATCAATGGATCAAGTTTGACTACACTCTACAGTGTCTGGAGCAAGGAGGGATCTATCTTATCAGCTTTCCAGTCGACGGAGATGAGACAGGAGATACTGCTGTGGTATAATGTTCACAGCTTGAAGGAATAGTAGCAAGGGAACGACTGCAACGAGATGGTGATGGTGAGAATATGATATAGTTGAAGCTGCTCATGACAGTGGGGGTATTTGGATTCACAGAGAGGGCTGCAGAGACTATAAGACAGAATACGCTCGACGTTCTCTGTCATCTGGTAGAGCTCTCTAGTTGACGGAGACTTTGAAAACGGGTCAGGGCTGTCCAGGAATGCTCATACAGCTGCTCGGATGAAAGTATCAGCAAAGAACTCAGTGTCAGATTGCTTCAAGGGAAATCAAATCCAAAAGTTGGAGTGGGAAAACTTGGAGCTGTGGCCAAATATCCAAGCAAGTCGAGCACCACAGTAGCAGGTCACTAAAGCGTCAAGTCTGAGCTAGAGACCAGTCTCCACAATCTAAGTCGAGGGAAGATCAACGACTGGAATTGAAAGTTTCGGAAGATGGTGGCCGAGATGGAGAGTCGAAAGTGGTGGTTGACGAGGCTCCAGGCAGAGCAGTCGGCTGGAAGTGCAGCAGAGTCAGTTGGGCTACACTCTACAGTGTCTGGAGCAAGGACGAATTTATCTTATCGGCTTTCCAGTGGATGGAGATGATTCAGGAGCACCTGCTGCGGTAAGGCTGTCCATGATAGTAGCGAGGAACGACGTGAACCAGTGTCAGATGGCTGCCAGATGGCGAGAAGACGATATAGCTGAAGCTGCTCGTGACTGGGGTTTCGGATGGCTGTGGAGACTATAAGACAGACTACGCTAGACGTTCTCTGTCATCTG